ATAACTAAGTCTTTACATCAATCAGGTTGATAATTTAACAGTAACTTCTTTTACGTAAATCTTCTGGTAGATGAATAACTAAGTATTTAAATCAATCAGGTCGATAATTTAACAGTTACTTGTTCTCAATAGGCTGTAGTCATTGTTCTAAGTAAATCTTCTAGTAGATGAATAATTAAGTCTTTACATCAATGAAGGTCATAATTTAACAGTAACATCTTATCAGTAGGTTGTAGTCATTGTTCTAAGTAAATCTTCTGATAGTTAATTATTAATAACAAAAAAAAGTAAGAAAAAATATATCAATTAATATTGAAAACGTAGAATTTGCAACAAAGCAATTGTAGTCATTCCAAGTTGTGACGCATTTGCGGTCAGAAACGTCTATATATAATTGTTGTTGCAATAATTTTAGTTCATTTCATTCAAGTAACTCGAAGATGAAGCAAATCATATACTTATTACTCATGTGCTCCGTTTCTTGCGTCTTGGCGCAAAGTAAGTAATTTCCTCCACCAATCTTGCAAATTATGTAATAATACTTTAATACAGAACCAACGGATTCCTGCAAAACACCGAACGGCGAGACGGCCAAATGCATTTCAATCTTCTCCTGTCCGAACCTCTACAAAGCAGGGAAAAGCAGTAATCCGGATGTTATACAATTCGTGCAGGATTCGATTTGCAGGAAATCGTCTTTCAACGTCTTCGTGTGCTGCGGCTCGGATGCCGCCTACAAAAAGAAAGCACCGGTCGTGTTAAACGAACATGATTGTAGTAATCTGGTAATTTCTTGATATTACCGTAGAAAAATAAGTGAATTAATTAGTGTTTACGTTACAGAATGTCGATTTCAAGAAGTTGTGGGAAAACGGAATGAGTTTAGACACGTCACCGTCGATGGCCTTGCTCGAATACGAGAGTTTGCTTACCGGTGAGCGCAGTTTTAGATGCAAAGGTAGCATCATCGGGAAAAGACACGTCCTGACACCTACCCACTGCGTAACCGGAAGTTACATCAAAGATTACAAATTGTAAATTCAAAAAATTGAGAAGTTGTTATTTTATTATAAATTTGTTTGTATTGCAGAGTGAACATCCGACTTGGTGAATGGAACATTTCTACTTCCAGAGATTGCATCAAGTTTGGTAATGAAATGGTGTGCAGTAATCCTGGCTTGAACGTGGGATTCGAGAGGGTAACAGCATACAAAGACGATCCAAAATACAACGACATTTCTCTGATCAAGTTGAACAGAAACATCACATACTCAAGTACAGAAATCTTAACTAATCAACTAACAATTTTGCTCCAACGTTATTGAAATTGCAGAAACTGTGAGTCCGATTTGCTTTCCAACGCAGCAAAAGCAACTGACCGTTCCTGGTTGGGGTCTAACTGAGAACGGTGTGCAGAGCGATGTGAAGCTGAAAGTTCAGGTGCCCATCATTAACAATAAGGATTGCTGCAAGAAAGTTGGAAAGTTATTTGAAGTTAGGAATACTCAGATTTGTGCTGGCGGCGAACTTGGAAAGGATTCTTGTAAGGGTGACAGCGGTGGGCCGTTGATGCATAGGGATATTGAGAATGATCAGTGGACTATGGAAGGTATAGTTTCGTTGGGAATTGGATGTGGAAGAGAAGGATGGCCCGGTATTTACACCAATGTCCGATCGTACATCAGTTGGATCAAGGAGCACGCAATTTAACACAGCTGAAGAATTTTCATTATTTCTTAGTATTGTGCATTAAATATAACTTCTTTTCATATAGTTCTAAGTTCATTTCTGTATATTATATAGCCTGAAGTATACTTTAAATATGTAAACTAATGTATATAAAAATAAAAGTTAAATGAAATATAATTGATGAGAAGAAATAATTTATTTTGTACCCGTTTTTATTTATATTATATAATAAATCATAATATAAACCAAAGACATTGTCTTTCAGCTTAATATATGGAACTAATACGATTTAGACTCTAAATTTTTGAGGAATAAATATATTTGAAAGATTGCGTTTCAAAACAGTTATTTTTTTAATGGTTTGTTATGATTATATAAAACACGTTTTATGTTTATTTTTATGTATGTTTTAATAAATACTATTATTTCATTAAATTTGTAAGAAATTTATACACACAAATCCTGCTAATATAATTAACAAAACTATAAACTTTAACTATAAATGTTTGAGTCTACCTAACAACTTAAAGAATTAATAAATACAGCAATACCGCTCATAGTGCGGCTTCATACAGTCCGTATTTTCTCTATAGTACGGTTTGAAAATTTCAAAACAAACTAAAAGTTGAAAAATAGGGCAGAAAATTCTTGTTCAATAAACTTAAGTTAAGGCCTATAAATATTTGTTAATAAATTGCTGAAAACTTGTCTTGATTTATCTAATGAGAAATAATTTGTATCATAGGTAAACAATGATTCTGATCAATCAAACTAAAAACGTAAACTTAAGCAATTTAAGAAAATCTTTTGGTAGAATCAATTTTTGAAGAATAAATATATTCGAAACATCTATAGTCGATTGCGTTTCAAAACAGTTATTTTTTTAATAGTTTGTTATAATTATATAAAACACGTTTTATGTTTATTTTTACGTATGTTTCAATAAATACTATTATTTCATTAAATTTGTAATAAATTTATACACACAACATTTTACCACAAATCCTGCTAACTATTGTTTACGCAATAATTCAATTAACAAAACTATAAACTTATGTCTATCCAACAACTTAAAGAATTAACACATACAGCAATACCGCTCATAGTGCGGCTTCATACAGTCCGTATTTTCTCTATAGTACGGTTTGAAAATTTCAAAACAAACTAAAAGTTGTAAAAAGGTCAGAAAAATCTTGCTCAATGAACTTAAATTAAGGTCTATAAACATTTGTTAATAAATTGCTGAAAACTTGTTATGATTTATATAATGATTCTGTTCAATCATACCAAGAACGTAAACTTTAGCCAATTAAGAAAATCTTTTGGTAGAATCAATTCTTTCTAATTATCTAATTAATATAATTAGTATAAAATTTTGCTATAAAACGTTGCATCTCTATTCTGTGGATAAACAAAAGCATTCGGCGGAAACTAAAAGGAAAGAAAAAACTATTATTCATAGTAAACTAGATTTTAAGAACTTTATCAATTAGATTTGCACTAAAATCCGGACGTACGCTTGAATTCTGAGTAATACCACCGCAAGATTCGTTCATTTTCTCCTACTTATGACGTTATTGCGGTAATAAGCAGTTCTATATAAATGTTGTAGCAAAACAACACGAGCTCAATTAAATCAAATACTAGTCGACGATGAGACTCATTACGTGTATATTCGCGCTGTACTTCGTTTCTAGCGCATTTGCGCAAGGTAAGTGTCTTATAATATTATTCAAATAATATGTAATTATTTAATAACTGTTTTTCTTTAACAAAGAATCTTGCAAAACTCCAAACGGTGAAACAGCCAAATGCGTTTCAATCTTTGCCTGTCCGATTCTGTACGAGTCAGGAAGAAGCGGAGGACCAGAAGCTTACCGCTTCCTGCAACAATCGGTATGCAAGAAATCGTTCTACAACATCTACGTGTGCTGCGGCTCGGACACCATCTTCAAACCACAAGAAATAGTATCGAAGACTCCTGATATGTTAGCGGATGCACCGAGGAATAATTACATAGCCAAGAGAAGCGAATGCGGATACATGGTCATTATTTATATGATTCATGCGACGAGCAAGGAAATTTAATGAAAGTTTATATTTCAGAATCCCGATTTCAGAATATACGGTGGCAACAAAACGGGTTTGGATGAGTTTCCGTGGATGGCTTTGCTGGAATACCAGAGTTTGAAGGACGGGGAGCGCAGTTTTAGGTGCGGCGGAAGTATCATCGGAAGGAGACATATCCTGACGGCCGCCCACTGCGTGACAGGAGTGGCCAGCAGATATTACAGACTGTAAGTTGATTGCGTAATTTTCTTGTAAATTGGAAAGGAAATAATTGAAATAATCGATCTTTGAACAGTGTGAACATCCGATTAGGCGAATGGAACACTTCTTCTACGAGCGATTGCGTCAACATTGGGAAGAAAAAGGAATGCAGTGATCCTGTTCTTAATATGGGATTCGAGAGGATAACACCATTTGCCGGATACGAGGACGGCTCAAGATATAACGACATCGCGCTCATCCGTCTGGACAGAGACATCAAATATTCAAGTACGGATAATCTTAATCTTATCAAAGAATTTGCTCTAACAGTTATGGTTGTTATTACAGAATTCGTGAGTCCGATTTGTTTGCCGATGGAAGAGAAGCAAGTGGTGAAACCGAACGCGAAAATGATCGTCGCCGGATGGGGACAGACTGAGAACGGCACGAACAGCGAGGTGAAGCTCCGAGTACAAGTTCCCATCGTCAATTATCGGGACTGCGCCAGGAAATTCGGAAGATCATTGAAAGTCACTGATAATCAAATTTGTGCCGGTGGTCAAAAGAATAAAGATTCTTGTACCGGCGACAGTGGTGGACCTTTGATGTTGAGAAATTCTGAGACTGATCAATGGTTGACTGAAGGTATAGTTTCGTTGGGAAAAGGATGCGGAGAGGAAGGTTGGCCAGCTGTGTACACGAAGGTGCGTCCGTTCGTCAAGTGGATCAAGAAGCACGCTTATTGAAATAGCTTAATTCATTGTTTTCTAGAATACTTATTTATTTATTGTTCATTCAATACCTGTTGCCGATGCTGTTCTTAACTTTACACTTACGTTACCAAAATGGTAACAAAGGCTGTTATTAGATATACCAAAATCTTCGAATTACGCACCACTAATTTTATTATATATTTAGCAATTTATTACATGCTTTACACAAAATAAATCATTTATAATCTATGAAACACATAATTCTCTTTAAACCCATTACAAACGAAAATTAATCAAATTAGAGCAGCGTTTTCCAAACTGTGAGGCGTGGACTAGTCTAAAGGGAGGCGCGAATATTAGTAGCAGTAAGCAATTTTCCAAATATCTGCTAAAGTATCTGCAAATTTGAAAAATTGAAATTGGATACATTCCTGTGCTTTATCCATATTGCTGTAATACGCGTTCAAAGTTGAAAAATTGAAATTAGAACGTTGGAAAAAGCAGTGTTTTCACATTTCATTGATTTACTCGAAAACTATAATAGATAGAATGAATCCAATATATGCACATGAAAGCTGAATGTTTGGGGAATCCAGCAAGTATAGATACATTCCTGTGCTCTTATCCATATTGCTGTAATACGCGTTCAAATTGAA